ATTGAACGTGGTAAATATGTCACAAGTATTAATATAATTGTTACAACACAACCCCCAAAACAGTTGCCTTAATCCAACATTAACTTGTATATACACACACACAGGAGCGTGTATTGTGTAGGTAAGGCAACTGGGATGGTGACACTAGATGCTGCAACCAGTGGGACACCACAAATTAGGAACATAAATTAAAGACAATATTATTTTCCCTGCATCTACAATCTTCATGACAGCCTTGTATGTATATTGGGTGTCTCAGTTCTTAATGTTCAAACTCTGGGAGGGGGAGGGGGGTTGATTCTAGAAAAACTTTTCAACAAAAAAGTTTATTTGATGCATGGGCTGATTCTGAACTGAAAAGGAATAAAGAGCAATTTTGTGTTTTCTTAAGGTGGCTATGTTTCTTACTGAATAAGAAGAAATTGCTCCAAAACTGTTCACGATAATTAAATTCTAAGTACACCATCGTAAATTAGACAACATTTTTTTGATAAATCAGTTATTAATTTAATTTAGGTCAATGATAAAAGGGACTTTCAGGAAGATTAATACGACTACTGTACAGAGATATGCTGCTTGTGTATGGGTACTGTAACTGTAGCATTACCTGCAGACGTTATAATAGCATTATTAAATTTGATCAACTTAAAAAGTTTTTGAGTAATTCCTTTTTATTCAATAAAAACTGTGACTACCTAGAGAAAAACACTAAATTGGTCTCAACTCCTTTTCTGTTCGGAATCTGCCCATGTAGCAAATGGACGTTTTTGTAGGAAATTTTGTCTAGAATCACATTCCAGAGAATGATTATTAAGAACTGAGACCCCCTGTAATAAAACTTTTCAGTAGCAGACCTATAGAATTATATATTTTGGAGATCTGGAAGTAATACCTGATAAATTAATAAAAATTAGCAGATTAAAACTGTAGTATAAATGCCGGATGGTTAAGGCACAAGCTCTGCAAAATTATTCGTACGTTACATGAATTATAATAAAACTTGAAAATTTTTTTTATTAATATTTCTGTGTGGGGTCCACAGTACACACATTTTTTTTCACATACCTGTGTTTTACAGGTTTGAATGGAGCAGCTCATTTGAGATAACTAAGTTGTTCACATACACTCAAAAATAATATCAATTTCTTCTTCGAAAAATAACCAGAATCAAGTATATAATCAAATTTATAGAACAACAAAAAGTAGAAACTGTAACCACTACTTCAAAAATGAATCACCAATATAAATAATAATTGAACCAAGCTGGCTTTCTGCTGTCTGTTACAGAGAAAATTTTCAATCAAGCCTATCCACCTCCTATATATATATATATATATATATTTTTTTTTTTTTTTTTCGGTTGGCTCTACAGACCTTGTAGATCTTCGGCTGCCTGAACCAGCCTTCTCCACCTCTGCCTATTTGGGCTACTGCTTTCCAGTTTGCGGCATGAAGCTCAGTCGTATCTTTATTTATCCTATCTATCCATCTGGTTTTAGGCCTCCCACGTGGTCTCTTGCCTACTACTCTGGCATTCATTGTTGTGAAGAGGCGTCCTGATGGATTACCGCGAGCTACATGCCATGCCCATCTTAATCTCCTTGCCTTCATATCATGAGATATTGACTGACCCGTTTCTTTCAGCAGTTCTTTATTGTTCCTTCTCCTCCATGTGTCAAGGTTCTGGTCCCATATAGGTCCTGTTATTCTACGCAGAACTTTTCTTTCGAATCTCTCAATTCTGGCTTCTAATGTGCCGGTTAGAGCCCAGGTTTCACAACCGTACATCAGAACTGGCTTAATCACGGCATTGTACACCCTTATTTTGAGATTTCTTGAGATTATTCTGGATTTCAGCACCTTTGAAAGAGAGACAAAAGATCTATTCACACTTGTTATTCGCTGATCTATCTCTGTTAGTTGATCATTTATTGAGGTTATTGTGGAGCTGAGGTATTTGAATCTGTCTACTTTCGGGAATGACTTGGAATCCACGCAGATCATGCTATTAGGGTGGATGTTTTGGCTAATTGTCATGTATTTTGTTTTGTCTACGTTGACCTGTAGTCCGATTTGCTCTGATTCTTTTAATAGAGTCCGAGCGAGTCTCTCAATATCCTCTTGATTACTTCTGAGGAGAGCTATATCATCGGCATATGCTAGGATTTTATGTTTCATTCCAACGTACACCTCTCCATCTTCGCGAGATGTTATTCTTATTACTTTCTCTAGAGCTAAGTTGAACAGCATCGGCGAGAGTCCATCTCCCTGCCTCAAACCTGTTCGAACTTCAAAGGCTTCAAATACGTCTCCTTGTATTAGTACTCTGCATTTAGGATGATTTGTACACGCCTTCGTCAACCTCACTAACTTCCCGGGAACACCCAGCTCAGTCATGATCTTCCAGAGACAGTTTCTATCAACAGAGTCATAGGCTGATTTGAAGTCGACAAATAATGCGTGCACGTCCTGATCTACTTCCCATCGTTTTTCAAGTACTTGTTTCAAGATGAATATGTGATCTAGCGTACTCCTCCCTCTTCTGAATCCTGTTTGATGGTCGCCTAATATGTTTTCGTAATACAGATATATCCGATTTAGTAGAATATTAGTCATTATTTTATAGGTGATCGGAAGAAGTGCTATGCCTCTGTAATTGCCACATTCATACATGGAGCCCTTCTTAAGGATAGGGCAGATCAACCCTGTGTTCCAAGCTTCTGGTATCAGTTCCTTCTCCCATATCTTCTGGATTAGATCTAACAGCTTGGCTCTGAGTTCTTCTCCCCCATCCTTGAACAATTCTGATGGTAGGTTGTCTATAACTGGAGGAGCCTTTCTTCTTTTAAGCCTGCCGATAGCTATTTCCACATCCAGAATATCTGGTTTTTCAACCTCAAGAGGGTCGGTGTCCTCAGTGTGGTCCATATCTTCTTCGTTTGTGGGGTGCCCTTGATTAAGCAGCTGCTGGAAGTGTTCCTTCCAGATGCTTAGGATCTTTTCTTTTGATGCCGTCAATTTACCATCTTTCCCTCGCATTTGTGTATTTCTCGCTTTATATTCTACCCTTTCTTTCCTGATATCTGCAAAGAATTCGCATATATTTACAGCCTGCCAGTTTTCCTCAATAGTTTGTAATCTTTCTTTGAGGAATTCTCTTTTGGCTGTTCTTATTATTTTGTTTGTCTTTTTCCTAGCGGCAGTGTATTTGTCCAGCATAGCTTGATCAGTTTATAAGCAGAGGACTTTTCTTCTTCCCTATTATTTCCTTAGCTGTTTGTTTTAGCCCTGACTCTAGTGTCTCCCAGTGTTGGTCAACCGTGAGACCTTCCGAGTTCAAGGGTGCGAATTTATTTTTCAGCTCAATTTGAAATTCAGCTTGTACCTATAGGGTTTTTCAAATTACGGACTTCGTACCTCTGTCTTTCCACTTGGTTCCCAATTCGGTGGATTCGCTTTAGCCTCTGACAGAGTTTAATTCTAATCAGGGTATGGTCCGACAGTCTGCTCCACGATAACTCCTTATGTTTTGTATGGAGCTTTGACGCCTCTTGTCTATCAGCACATGGTCGATTTGGCTTTTTGCTCCTTTAGGACTTACCCAGGTATACTTATGTATGTCCTTGTGCAGGAACATCGTACTGCTTACTACTAGACCTTTAGCTGCTGCCAGACTAATGCATCTCACTCCATTGTCATTGCTAGTTTCGTGGAGACTTTGGCCTCCAATGATGGGCTTAAATTGGGTTTCTCGACCTATCTTGGCATTGAAGTCTCCCATGACTAATTTTATGTCATATTTTGGAGCCTGGTCCACAACTTTTTCTAACTGATTGTAGAAATCATCCTTCACCTCATCCTTTATCGGTCGGTACATACAAGATAATAATCGTGATATTAAACCAACGACCTCTTACGTGCAGCACACTTATCACTTAACTGGGGTGAAGTTTATTACTGACTTCCTTGTGGCTGGATTAACTACAAATGCAGTGCCAGCTGTCCCAGTTTTGTCATTTCTCCTGGTGTAGAACAGTGTGTAACCGTCTATAGTGGTTTCCCCACCATCTGGCCACCTTTCCTCTTGAATGGCTGTTAACAGTATGTTGTACCTTTTTACTTCATTAACTACCGTTTGGGCGGCTCCTGGTCTGCATAAGCTCCGAACATTCCATGATCCGATATGGAGTTCGTTATACAAAGCTGGAGTCATTACCATATTAAGACAGTCAGATTTTCCGAGGCTGGTTTTAGGTTTCTTAATATGGTGTTTTTGACGGGATAGGGTTATTAGCCCTAGGCCCAACCCCCAACCTGGAGGACCAGGAGCTATGTCTACCACAGGGTCACTCACCTCCCTGTGGCGTGAGTTGCCTCCAGTAGGCTGATGGGCTCACATACCCGAGGGAGGGGAGGAATCTCTGGCAGCGTGTCTTTCCGTGGTGGACGGTCACCCATACAAGTACTGACCACACTCGATGGTGCTTAACTTTGATTACCTATTGCAAGCGCCTTAGCCGTAAGGCTACCCGGCCCCCTGCCTCCTATATATATATATATATATATATATATATATATATATATATATATATATATATATACAGTGAAACTTCCCGTAGAGGATACTTCTATATATCGGACAAATTAATAATACTGATCTGATTTCAATAATTTTATAGTTCAAATGACTCCTGCATAATGGAGGTGGATAGGCTTGATTGAAATTTTTCTCTGTAACAGATATACATAAATACACACACACAAGACATTTAAATCACATTAAAAATATTTATGGCATAATTAAGAAAAAATTAAACATAAAAAATATATTGGAAATGATAGATTCTGTTTAACATAAAACTGACTTAATTAGTATTAGTTATAATATGTATATACTTCCTTACCAAGTAATGAACCAAATACCCTTCAAAGGTTGTAATGCTACATTTATTTATTTTTTTTTAGTTTATGAAACTCAAAGAATAATTTATATATTTAAACTAAACATTTCCAAATTTATTAATACTTAAAACTTTCATAGTATAATTAAATAACATATTTTGAAGATTAGAATTTTCAGATAATTTAGATGGGGATGTAATACAGCAATTGCTAAGGTACAAGCCACCTTTTCCTTCCAATTTAGAACTAATGCAGGGATACAATACTGTTGTAGCACCTTCATCAACACTCTGGAAAATGATAATACACAAATAAATACTAAACAAATAGAAAATTGAAAATATAAAACAAATTATCAAGTTGACAATTACAAAATATGATTCAATTTAATTAAAAAACAACAATGAATTTCATATTTATAAGCACTTTTAATAAAAGCTCAAAGGTAGATTTTTTTTTTTATAGTCAATATTGGCTTCCATCATATAGAGTGCAAATAATAACATTAAGAAGAAATAATTCTTAAAGCAATGCTTTATTTGAAAAGAAAAAAATTACTAATACTATTTACCATAACTCCCGAATACATGTATAAATATATGCATTTTTTAAAATTACAAAACCAAAAATTTATTAATAAAAACTTACAAATACTATTTGTCACAATTTATGAAATAACGTACTTTTTTACAAATCTATGAACTTAAAATTTTTTTATTTTTAAAAATCATCATTTTTTACATATTATTTCAATAAATTATGTCATAATAATGATCAGATGCTTATGGACTTATAAAAATAAATTAACACTCAAACAGTACAAGTTTGAGAAGAATTATATAGTATAGTCGTGTTGGATACAACCCAATCTCTATTTTAATAAGTTATTTCTTGAAGAGATATGCAAACAATAAGCATGTATGTTGCATAATAACATGTATCAACTAGTATTGATCAGACACAATTTAAGTTAAAGGGAATTTTAGATTTAGATACAAGAATATAACTTGTAAGCAGTAAAGAGTACTATCAACCTTTTAAGGAATCTCTTAGATATAGAATGACTCATTGTTTTTTTTTAATAACATCAAAATTCACTTTAGTAAGAAGGAAATTTGATATTTATCAATATTAAACAAAAAAAAAAAACATTGCAAGTTCTGTGTACTAATAGGCTAATAATATTTTACATCAAAAAGTACTTTGGAATACTTTACTTTCCGGTACTTTAGTTCAAACTTCGTCAGATAAGCATTGGAGATGATGCCACTAAACATTCCTTCTCTCCACCCCCACCCTAACTAACAGCCTCATTGCGTAGATTTACATCTCCATAAGCAGGTGGGTCTTCTCTTTATTTTTATTTCTTATCCTCTTTCTTATTTCAACCTTCTCAGTTTCCTTCCTCCTTCCTTTCATCCCTCTGCTCTGTTTTAACTCTGTATTATATTATACGTTGTCTATACATCTTGATAGACTTTACAACATCTCAATTTTCTATCTAACTATTCTATTCACAATACCTTAATTTTACTGTTTATTTCTATTTCTTATATAACTTCATATTTTTCTGTTTTTACATTTTATTCTAAGATTCCCATTTTAATACTTATGTCACCTTTTTTTTTTATTATGTTTACTTCATCATTCCACACTTTGTACCGCTTATTATAATTTATCTCTTTGTTTTTACTATTGTCATTATTCTAACAACTGAATTTAATTTAATTTTTTTTCCTACACTACTTATGTTTCTCATACCTTGTTATCTGGTTCTTTTCTTGGCCCTGATGATGGCCTGAACTTCAAGTTGAAACTTCGGCTAATGCCACAATAAATAGTACCATTTATTTTTGCCTTCTTATTTGACTGATCACCCCAACTATTCTTCTCTCCATTATTCACGACAGACAACCATTTACCAATTATTAAAAAAAATACTTTGATGAAAACAAAAACAATGAATTGAAATTTTGCCAACTTCTCCAAAGCTTTCATCCTCTTCATTACAGTAATAAAAACCTTCTTCAAAATCACTATTCATTAGATATAAATTTTCTTATTCTGAAGAGCATACTTCTAGTACCAATTCGCAGTCTGAAACATCCTGTTGATTACACATCTCAGTGAGAACATATTCAGGAGTGCAAAACAGTTGTTGCTTAACCATAATAATGCTAAAACCGTAAAATATAACAAAAAATAAAAATATAGTAAAATTAGCAACATTTGCCATATGATCTGTCCAACTTAAACTTCTTTTCTATTTATAAGATTCATGACTTCTAAATTAGGATTTGAGAAGTGCTTTAAAGTCTGCAGTTAAGTATCTTGGAGATCCCTAATAAATTGACACATTTTTATTTTATTTTCAGAGATTAACAATAATGATCGAACTGAAGAAAAATTAATATACTTTTTACTGTAACAGTAGTTGTAATAACAGAGTGTATCGGCAATGGAAAGGAGCTACCTGAAAATTAAGATGTCCAAAGTAAAAAGAAAATGAGCCGGTCGGGGATGTACAACAGAGAATTGGAGATGAAGAAAGCTGGACTAAAGGATCATCAGAGAAAAAATACACCAAAATAGGGGTATTTCCAAACAAACCCGAAACGTGAGAATGAATCAGAAGAGAAATAGAAATATTGGGAGGCTTGCCATGGTACTAGATAAAGTGAAGTAGGTAGTGACTCGTATGTGGGATCATAATATTCCAAACAATTTAAACCTCCAGGCAACTTCAAAATGAGCTTCCCAGGAGAAAAGCTAATCGATTTAATCATGGTGGAATGATTACCAGCCATTCTCGGATAGCTAATTCAGAACACTGTTTCTCCTTCCTTCAGGAAGTCATAGTCATAAAAAAGTTCAGGTTCACCATCTCTATAGGTGATTGATCAGTAACTTTTATATATACGTTTTTTCAATCTGACTGAACCTATCCCCTCTCTCTACAATACAAGGTCTGGGGAGTCATCTCTTCGTTTGTGGTGTCCATCTTGCGATGTCTTAAGGCTCATCCCTTAGCTCATAGACTGAGAGTGATTCGGGTGCTCATCCACCAGATACTTAAGGTTGTCCTTTCTTATCATCTTCCTGATCCACTGAGTCATTTTCCTAATTAAACACGCTCTACTAAGGCCTTCTATTCACTCTATAATACCTACCTCGATAAGTCTAAATCGGGACCCATGTAATTCATCCTAATACTCGCCTTCTGGTCAAATGTTTTATAAATTTCCATTCAAAGTATCATTACTCTACTTTCGGGAAACTGAATTTGTTTAACCTACCATGATTTGATCATCATTAACAGTATTATCGGTAGTTCGAAATAAATTCCTGTAACTTATAAAAATGGGTCTAAGAGACTAATATGCAGAAATACTATCAAAGAAGATGCAAAGATTGTTTCACCATTGTCTTACACGTGGAAAAAAAAATAAACAGAAAATATAATGTTTATAAAATAAAAATTACCAGGTTTTTTTTTCATCTCCTGAGCATTTAAAGTTTTGGTACTTACAGGATTTTGCAGAATGGCGGTCAAAATTACTATTATATTCAGTAATATACAGATCATCTATCGAGTGTAGGAGTACTAATTGTAACTAAAATGATCTTGCACTATTATTCAAAATATACGGCCTCTTCTACAACAGTGCACACCAACCCTAGCATCGCATCTTGTGAAAAAATTAACTCATGCTTCCTGTGGGAATGGCCATAACAGTGCACCAAGCATAGCACCGACCCTCAACCCTCATCCCCGCAACAAGCAAGGAATTGCTTCATCTATTCTTTTATTCTCGATCAAGCATCCAGGCCTTGGAACGGCTAGCTTTATAGAAATATATTAATATTATCTCATTTTCATAATAACCAATCATAATTGAATTAGTTCATTTCTACAAATATAACTATTTTTTTTCTGATGACATTACAAACCTTGTAGATCTTTTGCCTTCTTCTCCATCTCTGCAGGCAGCTCTATGGCATTTTTGTAGATCTAAACATCTGCTTTTTGCCAACTATTGAGGCAGTCATTGTTGTGAAGAGGCTTCCAGATGGATTGGTCTGAGCAACATGGGATAAGGGTCAAGAAATTGAGGTTGGTGTGTGGGTTGATGCACCATTAAAGACGAGGCCTAAGGAGGTCAAGGTAGAGGACTACATGCACAGAAAAATGATGCTGGTGAGGAGCTCATAATAAGAACTACAGTATTAAACATATTTGCCTGTCCCAATTCAGCAATGGACTAGTTTGACTGACGATAAGCCAATGAGATCAAATAAAAAACCTGTTTATGCTGTTCCTACGTCATGTTAGAACCACAAAGAGTTAAAAACCAATGCCGTAAAATGTATTAGGATTTTTATTCGTCTTTATAATAAAATAAAATTTGTAGTCATTTTGAATAAACTTTTATTTATTATTAAAAATTCTGACAGAAATTTTACTAGTCTTAAAATTTTAAAAGTCTTAAAAGCCTTACAGTGAACTTATAGGGTGTCTAATTTGATGTCACATGGCTCTCACCAAAAATTTATCAGTGTGGACTTTCCTAGTTCTAGAATTACATTATACTCTGTAATAGACTTCCTATGACTGGTCACTTCAGTGTTATGTCAATACAAAATTATTTATTGTTGGGTATATATCTTAGACACAGTCCATAAATTAATAGTCATCCATTAATTTTAACAAAATAAAAAAAAAACCTTAACATAGTGGATCAGATATACATTACCTTGCATAGATAATGGAGAACCCATGGAAATATTATCTTTAAAATTGTACCATTAAATATGTCAGTATTAACAACTCCAGGATGAACTGAGAGAACATGAACATTACTATTACTTTTCCTTAAAAATTTTTCTAGATGAATAGTAAATAATATTTGAGCAAGCTTGGATTGTGCATAAGCCTTGCTTGTTATAAAATAATTCCTAAAATTAAAGAAACTAATTAAAGGTGTGATTAATAACAAACAATAAATAATTAAATCTATGCCATAAAATTTAATAACATCTGATAATGAGTAAACATAATCTCAAATTTTAAAAAATTGTAGAAAAAGGTTAAATTGAAAATTAATTAAAATGGAGGGTATTGCACATGTCACAGAATTTTACTGAAATAATTTTTGGACAATAGATTTGTTTTTAAAACCATAATTTCCAAAGTTTGAGGAAAATCCTTTTGTTAGATATTTTTTTTATAAGTTTCTAAACTTTCAACTAAGCAAAGCTGGTGATATAGTCTGTTGTGATAAAATATTTATTTGTAATATTGTTTATATGTTCATTGAAAGATTTTATTTATTTTTCCTATTAGTAGATTAAGTTATCTAGCACATACGTTTTTGTACAAAGTATGGAAACTACACTCTTGTAATTGTTTATCATTGATTAAAGTTATTCTTTGTTTCAAATGAGAGCTTCTGTTTATTTTTTCCAAATTAATTTCAACAGCAGTTCCTACTTGCGCTTATATCAAGTGAAATAATAAGAATTTTATTTTTGTGTTTTTTTTTTGTACAGAAGTTTTTCCGAAAGCATGGATTTAAAAATAAATATTGGTGACCTAGAAGGTAAAAGCAACTGGAAAACTTGAAAATTCAAGATTTTGATCCTTCTTAGGAGTTTTCCAGGAGGAGAGGATGTAGTAAGTGGTAGCTCACCTGTCTTACAAAGCCTGCTGCAGAAGAGGTAACTATGTATAACATTAGGTATGAAAAATTTAAAACTGTCGATACTAAGGCAAAGCTTGTTTTATCTTCAAACATGTCTGATGAAACAATAACTAAGCTTATGAGATTCAATTCATCTAGGAACATATGGTTTAGATCTTCATCGCCTTTTTGAAGGAACACTAGAAGATAAACTTTTGACTTAGGTATGCAATTTATCATGTACTAATATGATTTTAAAGATTTCATGGCTAATCATTGAAGTAAATTAAAGAATATATGGAACAGTTTGAACATAGAAATGGGTTAAGGAGATCATGTTAATACCTTACCAGACATTATTTTAATTTGTAAAATCCTAGATACCCTTCCTTCTGATTATTTTTCCTTTAAAGCTAGTTGGCGGTTAATGGGTAAATCAGAAAGAACAATTGATAACTAGACAATTGTGAGCTCATGAGAGAGCTTTGAGAAAAAGTCTTGTAGTTCAAATATCTAAAGGCTGTTTTACACGGTCAAGCTTCTGGACCAGCTTCTTGTATCAATTCAGTTTGGGGGTGAAACTTGTACCATGTAAAAGGGTTTTGTAAAGTCACAGTCCAACTCATTCGAAAATGTTGGAACGACGCATGCTACATAAGTGCTCCTTAATTTAAGAAACATACTATGCAGTCTTAGATAATAACTAGGTCAGTCAAGACCTCAAATGTGCGCTTCTAACTAAATATTTTTAAAGGTTAAACTCTGTCGAGGTGATGGCTCCTGGGCGGCGTCTGATGAAGACAAAGCTGAGGAATTCGCCAAACACCTCTCCTGTACATTTATTTCTCATCCTGAATCTCATTCCATCCATACTACAAAAGTAGAAAAATTCCTCTCCTCACCAATTCCACTTTCCCTACCACCAAAAGCAGTTCATCTTTCTGAGGTCAAATATCATTTACAAAAATTATCTTCCCACAAATCTCCTGGATACGACCTTCTAACCCCACAGATCCTTCATCAACTACCACCCAAAGCGATCATATTCCTCACATATATATACGACTGCATCCTAAGAACTACCTATTTTCCTCTCTTATGGAAACATTCCACCATCGTCTTTTTCCTGAAACCAGCCAAACCTTCCAATAACACATCATCCTATAGATCTATTAGCCAACTCACAATCTTTTCAAAAACTTTTGAAAAAATCCTACCTATAATAAAATCTCAAAACCTTCGTACCCACAAATTCAGATTTTGTTCCCAAGATTCCACTGTCCAATAAGGATTCCGAGCTGTTGATCATACTTCCTCAGCCCTAGAAAGCAAGCTGCATTTCTGGACATCACACAAGCTTTTGGCAGAGTATGGCGTACCAGACTTCTCTTCAAGCTTAAAATCTATCTCCACCAGTCTTTATATTTAATATTCCGATCCTACCTCTCTGAACGCTCCTTTCAAGGTCGCTGTGGTACAGACTTCTTTAACTGTTCTTCAATCGAGGATGGAGTTCCTCAAGGTCCCGCCCTTTACATTCTGTATACCGCTGATATTCCTACTCATCCCAAAACTCTCCTGGCAACATTCACTATTACATACAGACACCAGTGTGGTCTAGACCTCAGTACAGAGCACATGATTGAAGTTGACTTGTTTTGTAACCAATGAGTTTAACAGTTTTTAGAAGGAATTTTGTTATAAAGGAAGGAGATGGTCCGGGGTTGCGGTCATAAAAAGGCTAAATAGTGGTAAAACTATTTTATTGAAAGCCAACGTTTCGACCCGACTTTGCAGGTCTTCATCAGGGCTAGAACGGACAAGATACAAAAAGATAGAGAATTGTGGCAATTACATAATATTTAGACATAATTTATAAACAATGTGAATAAGCTTATTAGAATTCTAAACAGTAAGTACAATAAAATATGGACTAAGTAAGCTGAGTAACAAGATCCTAAAATAAAGTAAATAGATGCTAACAATTGTTGTAGTGTAATATATAACAAATGAAAATGTGAGTATAATTCTATCTACAAAATCTACAGGAGAAAGAAAAAAATAAAATAAAAATAATAATAAAATAAAATTAGAGACTTATAGGTGTGTTCCTCAAGGAGTTTCACTTAAAACTGGAAAGGCAGCAGTAAGGATTGCAGGTATAGGGGGAGTTAGCATGTGTTAACTAAGTAAACATTGAAAAACCCAGGAATGTACAGTACCTAGGAATTTTTGAAGATATGGATGGATACAATGGAAAAATATTATATCTATGAAATATTAAATTATAAATATATAAATATACATATGAAATAGAGTTGAGAGATGTGAGAGGTATTTCATGATTTTAGATCAGAGTACAATGTGAATAAACCCAAAATTGGTAAAAAGTAAAATGTAATTATAGAAATACCTTCATTAACATACATACATTGCGCTCTGCTAGCGTGGTTGGATGGAGGACATAGACATAGACATAGACAATTAACGTAAGTTAGCTCTTAACTTAAAAGTATAGAGAGGGAAGAAAAAAACAGGGTGGTCATACATTGGTGTAGAGTGTAAATGTAAATTTAGAATAAAATAGAAGAGAGATCATACAAAGAAGGAATATTTAGAATAATGAACAATTAAATGAATTAATTAATAAAAATTGAGAGTAGATGAAAATAATAGAATAGAATATTTAAGTTATTTTTCCCTTATAAGACTTAAAATGTGTCTATATGTAAGAGAAATACAGTTTTTGTCTACTTTGTGATTAACGGGATTGTGTTCCATGTGAATGTGGATAGATTCGGAAATGAGTCTTTTTTCATGGTTAGGGACTGTGGAAAGGATAGAGGTTTTTCCAAAATCAAATGAGTGGTTGAGTGTTAAAGCATGTTCTGATAGTTTGGAGGCGGAAGGATTCCGGGAAGTTATGGACGTTTTATGTTGGGAAATGCGGGTTTTGAGATAGTTTTATGTTTCACCAATATAGGAGCTATTGCAATTAGGAGTAGAGCAAGGTATCCGGTAAACTACATTGGATCGGTGTTGTAAGAGTATGGGATCCTTCAAGTTGGTGAAAAAGGAAGAAAGTTTGTTATGGGACTTAAGGCCAAGGCGTAAGTTGGTTATAGTCGATTTTAGGAATTTTTGTATGTTGTCTGAGAGGAAAGGGATATAGGGGAGAGATTTGTCGTAAGGATTATTGTGACTATGTTTTTGGAGAGAGTGTAAAAGAAATTTGCCGAGTTTAGCTGAGGGGGCGTTAATATTGGAGATGATAGCACCCTCCCCCGTGACCCAACCCGTACACTAATGCTAAAATTTAACCACCGCATTAAAAACTTACTAGAGACTAAACAAATTAACCGTCCCACTTACTACAACCTTATATCCTACAACTCCCTAGCACCCAGCTTATATGGACTCCCAAAAATTCACAAACCGGGAAATCCCCTCCGCCCTATCATCTCCAATATTAACGCCCCCTCAGCTAAACTCAGCAAATTTCTTTTACACTCTCTCCAAAAACATAGTCACAATAATCCTTACGACAAATCTCTCCCCTATATCCCTATTCTCTCAGACAACATACAAAAATTCCTAAAATCGACTATAACCAACTTACTCCTTGGCCTTAATTAAGTCCCATAACAAACTTTCTTCCTTTTTCACCAACTTGAAGGATCCCATACTCTTACAACACCGATCCAATGTAGTTTACCGGATACCTTGCTCTACTCCTAATTGCAATAGCTCCTATATTGGTGAAACCTAAAACTATCTCAAAACCCGCATTTCCCAACATAAAACGTCCATAACTTCCCGGAATCCTTCCGCCTCCAAACTATCAGAACATGCTTTAACACTCAACCACTCATTTGATTTTGAAAAAACCTCTATCCTTTCCACGGTCCCTAACCATGAAAATGACTCATTTCCGAATCTATCCACATTCACATGGAACACAATCCCGTTAATCACAAAGTAGACAAAAACTGTATTTCTCTTACATATAGACACATTTTAAGTCTTATAAGGGAAAAATAACTTAAATATTCTATTCTATTATTTTCATCTACTCTCAATTTTTATTAATTAATTCATTTAATTGTTCATTATTCTAAATATTCCTTCTTTGTATGATCTCTCTTCTATTTTATTCTAAATTTACATTTACACTCTACACCAGTGTATGACCACCCTGTTTTTTTCTTCCCTCTCTATACTTTTAAGTTAAGAGCTAACTTACATTAATTGTCTATGTCTATGTCCTCAGTCCTC